AAACTTAACTTTCATTTCATCAATTAAACTATCCTCATGTATCCCAACTAGGAGAGGAAGTGATTGAAACAGGAACAAAAGATAAGCCACAGATACCAAGGAGAGGCAATTATTGCAGGCCTCTGTGATGAGAAAGCATAGTTGTGGAGTCAGTATGTTGAGGAGAGGAACCAATTTAGCATATGTGATGGAATGTAATGAACAGACATTTAGCTAAACTGATGTCAGTGTTAAAAGAAAATTTATTTTGAATGTTGAGGCCAGCCTGTTGTAGTATGACAGTACTACCTCAGTAATTATATGCGTGGGTCTGTTTGTGCTTTGTATAATTCAGGAAATTTGGGTAATAGGGATGCAGGAGATGGGGGCCATCGTTTATGGAAAACTCAGCCAAGACATCTAATGGTACAATTATTCTTAAAACAGTGAATGAATCATCTAAAATATCTTATTTCTTGATATTCCTATTGGAAAAGACAAGCATGAAAGGTCCTCCCTTGAGTGCTGTTTCCCCAAACTGAATGGTTGTGGACAGACTCTGAAGTGAGCCCTTGGAGGGTGTAGGTTCATGCTGTTTCTACTACTCTTTAGTCTACAATCTTCCAGTCTCACTTCTCTAGCCATAAAATTTGATTGATGATACCATCACTGGGTTATGGTGGAGACCAAAAGATGATGTAAATAAACATGAAAAAAAACTTCATTAATAATTTTGTGTCAAATCTTCAACTGCTATTTATAGTTTCATCATTATCATTATTACTGAAACTTTCCACCCCAAAAAGCAAGACATTCCAGTCTCCCTCATGAATGAACCAAAAATATGTCAACTCTGTAAGGCTACAAAATGTCTTATTTTTACTAATGCTTGTTTGAATATTGATAATAAGCCATAGCAAATATTAGGTGGGTGCATATGTGTGTGCTTTTCTATATATCTGACAGTATTCTTTGTAAACCTTTTAAGACTGTTGAACCACTCTGGGGACATTTCTTAAGAAAGGTCAAAAGAATAAACTTAGAAACCAAGGAGAAGGGCTGGTGTTGTGGCACAGTGGGTAAAATTGCCCCTTACCACCCTTGCATCCCATATAGGTACCAGTTCATGTCCCAACTACTCCACTTCCCATCCAGCTCTTCTGCTAAAGGCCTGGGAAAAAGCATCAGAGGATGACCCAAGTGTTTGGGCCTCTGCCACCCACACGGGAAACCCAGATGAAGCTCCTGGTTCCTAGCTTCAGCCTGGCCCAGCCCTGGCAGGTTGCAGCCATTTGGGGAGTGAGCCAGTGGATGGAAGATCTTTCCTTCTGTCTCTCCTCTCTCTGTAACTCAGATTTTCAAATAAATAATCAAATTTTTAAAAAGAAAAACCAAGGAGAGAAAATTAAGATGCTCTGTCCAAACAGTTCTTAGGGTTGAATATTGAGCTCAGCCGAATATTATACATGTAAGAGTTCTGTGGGTTTATGCACAATATATTTGTATCCCCAATCAAATGTATTCTCTGCATGCTACAGTCATTTTTGCACTTTCGAATGAAGCACTAGTTCAGTGCACAGCTAATTCAAAGAAGCCAGAATAAATCTAGGGCCAAACAACAACTTTAGAAGAATCCAAAGAGAGGAATATGAATTATCATCTGTACTTGGATTAAAATGGAGAAAAGCTGATGAAGTTGAAGTAGGCCTTTTCTCAGTGAACATCTTTCCACCTGGCAGCTTATGTTATCTGAAGTCTTTCTTGCTCTCCTCCAACTGGTGTTGTCGGCTATAAGTACAAGCTCTCAGTGGAACATATTGCTTTAATATCTGAGGTTAGATTTGAACAGTTTTGCTCAGCTGCTTCTACTCAAATATTCTACCCTCACACTGAAATAAATATATTCTGAAATTCCATTCTGTAACTATAGAAACCCTGATCTTTACTGTGTTTCCATTGGAAACACCAAAGAGCTCTCAGAAAGGAGTATCTGCTAATTATTGATCTATGAATAGCTTAGACCTCATAAACCATTACATTTCTATAGATTCAGATTCTTTCCATCTCTTCTTTGCTTTTTAAAAGAATCTGTGAGAGGCAGAAAGAGAACTCTCTTCTGCTAGTTCATTCCCCAGTTATCTGCAATGGAACCCCAACTGGTCCCAAAGCTGGGGGCTGAAAACCTAATCCAGATCTCACACATGGTTAGTAGGAACCCAGTTACTTAAGACATCACTGCTGCTCCCCAGGGTCTGCATCAGCTGGAAGCTGCAGACAGGAGCAGAACCAGGTATCAAACCCAGGTATTACAATGTGAGTCACGGGCATCTTAATTCCAAGGCCAAACACCTACTCTTTCTCTCCCTTTTCTTTTCCCATTTTTAAAACTAGAGCTAGACATATTTAAACCTAAAAAAGTCATGTTAAAAAATGCACTGGGTGGCCGGCGCCGTGGCTCACGTGGTTCCCACCTGCGGCAGCAGTATCCCTTGTGGGCGCCACTTTCTAGTCCCGGTTGTTCCTCTTCCAGTCCAGCTCTCTGCTGTGGCCCTGGATGGTAGTGGAGGATGGCCCAAGTGCTTGGGAGGAGGAAGCACCTGGCTCCTGGCTTCAGATCGGCGCAGCGCCGACCATAGGGGCCATTTGGGGAGTGAACCAACAGAAGGAAGACCTTTCTCTCTGTCTCTCTCTCTGTCTATAACTCTACCTGTCAAATAAAAAAAAAAATGCACTGGGAGCCCACATCATGACTTAGTGGGTAAAGCCACTGCCTACAATGCCACCATCTCTTATGGATGCCAGTTCATGTCCCAGCCACTCTACTGACTGTCCAGCTCCCTGGTAATGGCCTGGGGAAAGCAGCAGAGGATGGCTCAAGTGCTTGGGCCCCTGCTACTCATGTGGGAGACCTGGAAGAAGCTCCTGGCTCCTGGCTTTAGCCTGGCTCAGCTCTGGTTGTTGAAGTGAGGCCATGTGGGGAGTGAACCAGCAGATGAAAGATATTCATTCTCTCTCCCTCTCTCTCTCTCCTTTCCCTCCTTTCTCTCTCCCCTCACCTTCTCTGTAGCTCTTTCAAATAAATAATTGTTTTTTCAAAAAGCAATGCATTGAATATTAATTTTGTTCAACAATTACTTGTTGAGAACTTGCTATAACACATTATTGAGTGATATGTGGGCTTGCCCTCAAAAAACATACAACCTTGTATATGCAAGGCAAAAGTAAACACAAGAAAATCAAAAGCTAATATTGACATAGGGATACCAATAAGTACCACTGTATCATAGAGGAAGGAATGATCATGTGTAACTGGAGAGGCTCAGAAAAATCTGAGAAATACTTAGATTCTTTGTTTCTTCTTTTTCAACCCCAGGCTTCAAAGAAATACAAGTCCCACTAATTTTATTTTCCTAATATTTCTCAAGACCTTCTTTCTCCTCCACCTCGTTATCATTTCTCACCAGTTCTTTCTTGGATTATGGCAACAGATTCTAAATAGGCCCCCAGCCTCCTCTTCCTTCCCTCCTCCAGTCTGTCTTCCACCTCCATCAGAATCATTTCTTAAAATGTTAATCTGTTACTTTACCACTTTCTATCTTTTAAAAATTCATGAGAATTCTCCAGGGTGAAAACTCAAATCCTTGTTGTAGATGGATATCCTTTGGAAGGCATCCCACCACCTCACTACCCTACCTTCCCCATCTTGCATGTATGCTGTACAGAATCTTCCCATAATCTTCGAGCTTTCTTGTGTTTTTTGGGTCATGGCACATATTGTCCCTCCTTTTGGTGAATTCCCCTCAAGTTTTCCTACTGACAAGCTCTTTCTCATCCTTCAAATCTCAGATAAATCAACACCTCCTCCAAGAAGCTCACCCCATGCATTCTACACCTCCTTTTCATCCTGCTAATGAGATGGGTGCTCCCACATTGATATCAAGTTTTGTTGCACAGCATTCTCAGTCTTTCTTTACATCTCTGTTCTTCCCAGGAGCACATGGCTATGAACTCATTGGAATCATATTTAAAATTTGTTTCTTTGATCTCCAGCCCCTTGTCTGATACACGGTAGGCACTCAATGGTATTCAATGAATGAATGAAATGGAAGGTAAAACAATGAGCCTGTAGAGATGACAGGAGGACATTTGAGAAATTGAAAAGTCAAGATTATAAATATAACATGTTCATGGAAGAAGTGGAATAAAGGATAGGCATTTGGCACAGCACTTGGGATGCTGTTTGGAACACTTGAAGTTCATATCCAGTTTCCTGGATTCTGGTCCTGGCTCTACTTCTGACTCCAGTTTTCCGCTAATGTGTATGTTAGGAGGCCGTAGGTGATGGCTCAGGTGGTTGAGCCCCTACCATCCATGTGGTAAAATGAATTGAGTTTCTGGCTCCTGGCTTCAGCCTGACCTAGCCCCAGCGGGGTGAACTGGAAAATGAAAGATCTCTCTCTGTCTTTCAAATAAATAGAAAATAATAAATGAGAATTTTTTAAAATAATGTAATTCAAAGAAAAGTTTGTTTTGGTGCAAAAAAATTTGAAATTCATATATAGTATTCTCAAAATATGCATTTTCCATTAGCTTTTTGAAGTACCCTGATACACTGGCATTCTAAAGGAGAAGGGGAGGAAAATGGAAAAAGAAGGAAAGAGGAGAGGGAAAGAAAACCCTATTTAGTCTCCATTCAGGTGTTCATCTCTAGGGACTATGATTTCTAAAAATGGATTTTGATTTACTATATAAACATTTAAATAACAAAATTGCTTTTCTCTAACTCTTTGTTCTTTCCAAATACTATGACTCAGTGCATGTAACACAAACATTTCAAAGGACACGCTTGAAGCTTAGAGACTTTATACCAAGACTTTTCATACTGAACAAAAGAAGAAGAATATTTCAGAGCACATTTTATTTGAATTGTAAGAATAGAAAGAAGTTTTCTTCATTTAATAAGGAACTTAGCCACTAATGCCTTGTCTTGTAATAAACTCTTCATTTTCAATTTCCTTTAGGGTGGAAAGAAAGGAGCGTGCCCGATTGAAGACAGTGAAGTTTAATGCAAAACCTGGAGTGATTGATTCAAAAGGGGTAGGTACAAAATGATGGAAACATTAAGTTCTGTCAATTGCCATGGATTTAACTAAAATTAACATCTAGGCGTTCAGTAGCAAACAAATTGTGGAGCTACCAGACAGTAGAGCAGTGTTATAAATGCATTGGTGAAAGTAATGATGTGATTTCTGATGAAGTAGGTTTATGATAAATATGTTAAATCCTGAGGGTAAAATTGACAGTAGTCAGCAGACATAATGTGTTAATGAACATGATGAAATGAAGGGGAAAAAAGAGTTTAGATGCTTTTACCTCTTTATTTTTTTAATTAATGTTCTAAAACGATGGATTTCATAAAAGGCATCTGCTCATCAGAAATATAACTAATATGTTGTATGTTATAAAACTAATCAGTGCTCTAGACATATGCATTAATCATCTGAGTGAATACATGGATTGTTGTGACAGACATAGAGAAGGAGAGAATTAACACAAAAAATTTAATCACCAAAATCAAACTGTTTACTCAAAAATGCACATCTATAAATTTTTAAAATAATGGCTTTAAGGAGATGTAATTCACATACAACACAACTCACCTAGTTCGAGTATGCAATGCAGTGGTTATGCAATGCAGTAGTTATTGGGATATGAGAGTTGTGCAGCCATCACCACCATCAATTTAGAGCATTTCATCTCTCCCAAAAAAAAAAAAACCAGAAGTTTTCTTCTTCATAAGATTTTTCCAAGCCTTCTATCATTCAAGTCTAACCCCTCTCAGAGAACTAAATTTTATGTTTAAATGTTTAGTTAGGTATGGAGGAGGAGATCCAATTTTATATCAACAGCTTCTGTTAGCACTCACTTCCCATTTCCCACAACCTCCAACCCCTACAGTGCTGTAAACAACCACTAATCTCCTTCTTATCTCTGTAGATTTGCCTGTTCTGGGTATTTCATATAAATGGGCTTGTGTACTATGTGGTCTTTTCTGAATGCTTCTTTCACTTTATATAACATTTTCAAGTCACATATATGTTATAGCATGTGTAAGTACTTCATTTCTTTTTATTGTCAAGGAATATTTCATTGTATGGGTACATCAGATTTAATTTATTCATTCATCAGTTGATGGACATTTAGATTATTTCTACTTTTCAGCTATTATGGATAATATTATTATAAACTTTGTGTACAAATTTTTATATAAATATGTTTTCATTTCCATGGCATATATAACCACCATGAAATTTTTGGGTCTTCTGATAATTATATGTAAACATTTTCAGGAACTACCAGCCTGTTTTCCACATTTCTTTTTTGTTTAATATTTTATCTATATAAGGTGAACGAATTTCATATATTTCATATATACAGATTTAGGAGCATAGTGATACTTCCCGCCTTACCTTTCCTCCTACTCACACTCCCACCCTGCCTCCTCCTTCCTTTCTTATTTTTATTTTAATTTTTACAATGACATACTTGCAGTTTATTTTATAATCACAAGCTTAACCCTCCACCAAATAAAGAATTCAACAAGTAGTAAGTAACAAAAACCTCTGTTCCTCAAGAATATAGACAAAGGCTGCAAACAATAATCAAATTTCAAAATGTCAATTTCACTCTTATATGGTACATTTTTTGTGCACTGTATATTAATTGCCACAAATCAGGAAAAACATATATTTGTCTTTGGGGGACTGGCTTATTTCCCAAAGTATAAGGATTTCCAGTTGCATCCATTTTGTTTCAAAGACAGATTTCATTCTTATTTACAGCTGGCCATATCACATTTTTATCAGTAGTGTAGGAGGGTTCCAATTTCTCCATATCCTCATCAGCACATGTTATTATGTCTTTCTAATTAGAGCTATCTTTGCTGATATGAAGTGGTATCTCATTATGCTTTTGAAATGTTTTTCCCTAATGCCTGATGTTTAGCATCTTTTCATGTTGTGATTAGCCATTTTTATATCTTCTTTGGAAAAATGTCAGTCATATCATTTGTCCATTTTTGAATTTGGGCTTTTCTGTAGTTTAGTTGCAGAAGTTCCTTATATATGCTGATTATTAATTCCTTAAGAGATATATGCTTTTTGCTTGTTTTCTCCAACCATATGGACTTTCTTTTCACTGTCTTTATAGTATTCTTTCACACACCAAAGTTTTTAATTTTAATGACACCCAATTTATTTATTTTTTCTTATTACTTACATTTTTCATGTCTTATCTAAGAAACCATTGCCTAAACCAAAATCATAAAGTTGTACATCATGGTAATAAAATATTATTGTGTTAGCTCTTATATTTAGATATTCAATCCATTTTGAGTTCATTTCTGTGTATTATATAAGGTTCCAGTTTCATTCTTTATATGTGAATTGCCTCTTTAATTTCATTTTTGAATTGCTCATCTTTAAGTGTATAGAAATATAATTATTTTTGTATATCAATGTTATATCCTGCAAACTTGCAGCATCTAGTTATTAGTTCTTACAGCTTTTAGCAGATTCCTCAGGATTTCCTGCATGCAAGATCATGTCAAATGCAAAAGAGAGTGTTTTACTTTCTTTCTGATATGAATTATTTTTGCTTCTTTTGCTTCCCTGATTGCCCTGGTTAGAACTTCCAGCACAATGTTGGATGCAAATGGCAAAATTAGCCTTCTTTGTCTTGCTACTTACCTTAAGAGAAAATAATTCAGTCTTTCCAAAGTGGGTGAAACTAGCTATGGCTTATACAGCTTTTAAAATCTACTTTTGAAGGGATAACACCAGTATTTTTTGTCATGTTGGAGAAGAACCAAGAGCCGAGGGATGTGACATCATTGCATAGGGTCCTCTTAAATAACTGCTATGTATATATACGTGGGGTAGGTTTTCTTAATGATTCCTGATGAGAAGGCAAATCTATTTGTTGACGCATATAGTAGGATATTTATCAGAGGATTTTTGTTGAATACCTACCAAGTGCCAGTCACAAGGCTAGGACCTGTGAAAAATACAAAATATAACATAAACCCTAAAAGCTTATAGCATTGGTAAGAGGCCAGATTTATTCTTGGTAAGGCCAAAATATGGGTAAAATGCTTTTTAATCATCTGTAGTAAACACATTAGATTTTTTTCAATGATGCAATGGAAAGTCTAAGAATTGATAGCTATTCAAGGATGGGAGTAGCCATGTGGGAAGGGAAGCCTTGGCTTCAAAGTCAGGAGAACAGATATTCTGGGTTTTTTTAAGTTTGTTACTAAGTCGCCAATGATTTCTGAGTCCTACTAGCAAAATAACAGCTTTGAACTATATCAGTAATATCAAAAATAAGTTTCATTTCAGAAAGATAGATAGACAGACAGACAGTTTTCATCTGGAATATAGTATTGAGAAGAATTCTGAGGCCATATATTATCTTTTTTTTACAATTTTTTTATTTAGTAAATATAAATTTCCAGAGTACAGTTTATGGATTACAATGGCTTTCCCCCTCCCCATAATTTCCATCCCACTCGCACCCCTCCCCTCTCCCGCTCCCTCTCCCATTCCATTCACATCAAGATTCATTTTCAATTCTTTTTATATACAGAAGATCAATTTAGTACATATTAAGTAAAGATTTCATCAGTTTGCACCCACACAGAAACACAAAGTGAAAAATACTGTTTGAGTACTAGTTATAGCATTACTTCACACTGGACAACACATTAAGGACAGATCCCACATGAGAAGTAAGTACACAGTGACTTCTGTTGTTGACTTAACAATTTGACACTCTTGTTTATGGCGTCAGTAATCTCCCTAGGCTCTAGTCATGAGTTGCCAAGGCTATGGAAACCTTTTGGGTTCACCGACTTTGATCTTATTCCAACAGGCTCATAGTCAAAAGCGGAAGTTCTCTCCTCCCTTCAGAGAAAGGTACCTCCTTCTTTGATGGCCCCATTCTTTCCAATAGGATCTCACTTGCAGAGATCTTTCATTTAGGTCTTTTTTTTTTCCAGAGTGTCTTGGCTTTCCATGCCTAACGTGCTCTTATGGGCTCTTCAGCCAGATCTGAATGCCTTAAGGGCTGATTCTGAGGCCAGAGTGCTATTTAGGACATCTGCCATTCTATGAGTCTGCTGTGTATCCCGTTTCCCATGATGGATTGTTCTCTCCCTTTTTGATTCTATCAGTTAGTATTCGCAGACACTAGTCTTGTTTGTGTGATATCTTTGACTCTTAGATCTATCAGTGTGATCAATTGTGAAATGAAATTGATCACTTGGACTAGTGAGATGGCATTGGTACATGCCACCTTGATGGGATTGTATTGGAATCCCCTGGCACGTTTCTAACTCCACCCTTTGGGGCAAGTCCAATTGAGCATGTCCCAAATTGTACATCTCCTCCCTCTCTTATTCCCACTCTTATATTTAACAGGGATCACTTTTCAGTTAAAATTTAAACACCTCAGAATAATTGTGTGTTAATTACAGAGTTCAACCAATAGTACTAGAAGAAAAAAATACTAAAATGGATAAAGTATTACATTGTACATCAACAGTCAGCACAAGAGCTGATCAAGTCACTGTTTCTCATAGTGTCCATTTCACTACAACAGGTTTCCCCTTTGGTGCTCAGTTAGTTGTCGCCGATCAGTTTGCATTCCCACCAACAGTGGGTTAGTGTCCCTTTTTCCCCACATCCTCTTCAGCATCTATTGTTGGTAGATTTCTGAATGTGAGCCATTCTAACCGGGGTGAGGTGAAACTTCATTGTGGTTTTGATTTGCATTTCCCTATTTACTAGTGATCTTGAACATTTTTTCATGTGTCTGTTGGCCATTTGGATTTCCTATTTTGGAAAAATGTCTATTGATGTCCTTGGCCCATCTCTTAAGTGGGGTTGTTTGTTTTGATGTTGTGGAGTTTCTTGATCTCTTTGTAGATTCTGGTTATCAACTCTTTATCTGTTGCATAGTTTGCAAATAAATATTTTTTTCCCATTCTGTCAGTTGCCTCTTACTCTCCTGACTATTTCTTTTGCAGTACAGAAACT